TTTTTGACACTGCACCCCCCTCCCTTGTGGTTGTAAGCCGCCCTGAGTCCCCTCAGGGAAAAGGGCGGCCTATAAATCCCAATAAACTCAAACTCAAACTCAAACTCCTTTTTCTATTTTAAAAATAAAGTTAATTTTGTCTGTACATTGAAAAACTAATCTAGCTTTCAAAGTAGAAGGGGATGATTCCCTAGTCACATACAGGCTAGTAGATGAATGCATTTCATTTTAGTCATTTAAAGAATGCATTCCATTTTAGTCAGCTTCTTTTACTTTTTCAACTTTTCCTACTTAACAATAAGTTGTACTGGTTGTGGAATACCTTTACATTTTTTATATTGGAGTTATTGAATGGACATCAGATAATAGTATCCTATTGGAAGATAAGGTAAAGGTTCCCCTTGCACATATGTGCTAGTCCTTCCTGACTCTAGGGGGCGGTGCTCATCTCTGTTTCAAAGCCAAAGGGCCAGCACTGTCCGAAGATGGTCTCTATGGTCATGTGGCCGGCATGACAAAAGCGCACAGAACACCATTACCTTCCCACCAAATATGGTTCCTTTTTCTACTTGCATTTTTACATGCTTTCGAACTGCAAAGTTGGCAGAAGCTGGGACAAGTAACAGGAACTCACTCTGTTACGCGGCACTAGGGATTCGAACTGCCAAACTGCCAACCTTTCTGATCAACAAGCTCAGTGTCTTAGCCCCTGAGCCAGCACTTAGCCATTGGAAGATAAGCAATGACAATATGTAAAAACTACACCAAGGCAGGAAGAAAGTGGAGAAGAACCAGTGGGTTGATGAGAGAGGAAGTTTGAGACTTCCAACATTTCACCTAATGGGCTCAGTTCTGACATAACAATATTAATTTTTGTTTCCAAAGTCTGTATATTGCAACAAATTTCTGGGGACTAAGGAAAGAGAATGGTGGTTTGCAGAATATTTCAGGCTTAGTATATCTTCATATTTAGGTTTTAAATGACAGGTTACATGAGGAACTGACTCATCCCTACCCTGTCAGGCAGAGAAGTTATGTTACAGTCTGTCAGTTAGAGAATTTCAACTGGCAGGATCCAGGAAAAGGGCCTTTTCTGCTCCTGCCTGGCCCTCTTGAATATCCCCTCTCTAGAGGTGAGTCATCTCCCACTTTCCTGGCCTTTCAAAGGAGTTTGAAGATCTGGCTCTGACAACTCACATGGAGCTCACTGAGCAGCATGCAACCCTGGGTGTGGTTGGTACCTTGATGCTGCTTGTCCTGCCTCTTAACTTCTAACTTAACTTCTATTTATCCTTGTTTTTATCTATCTCCTTTTACTGATGTAATGCATTTTTAAATAGTTTTTAGGCTTTTAGGCTTTTAACTGTGCACTGCCCAGAGTCATTCTGAGGGTGAGATGGATGGTACTTAAATTTGACAAATAAATTTTAAAATATTCTTTCTTTCTCCAGAAAATGGGTAAGGATTACCCCCTGCATCAAATGTCTGTTTGCAAGAGGATCAAAAACTCAAATACAGTGGGTGCTAAAGTATATGTAGCCAGTAAGGCAAATCTAGGATATCACCCCCTTTACATTTCAACATGCAGTGCAGTATCTAGTTAATAAGATTTGTTGGGTTCTGAATGGTTACAAAGGGCTTGATACTATCAATTTGCCCTTGAAAAGAAAGACAAAAGTATCTATCTTTTTATCCAAGGTAAAGGCTACGAAAAGAAAGATTAGGAGAATCCAAACAATTGTGTGTGTGTGTACGTGAGAGAGAGGGGGGGAGGGAGAGAGAGAGAGAGAGAGAGGGAGGGAGAATGGAAGATAAATGATATAGAAACAAGGACATAGTATGCATCTAATAAACTACTTAATGCTTAGAATGTGTCCCTGTTGTCTGGAGAAGGAGGATAACATAGAAACGAATATATTTCTGTCCATCAATTGCTACAGTAGACCATATTGATCAGATGAGCTATTTACAGCTCAATCATGGGAATACATATTGCTACTTTGGCCGTGCTGGTTCAAATGGATATTAAAACTGATATTCAATTCGAAGTGGAACTTTGTCATTTTCTGTGAGATGGAAGAACATATAAATTTGATAAATAATTGAATACACAAATGAACAAACTTAAAAATAATAGCTTGGGGAAAGTAATAGCTTGCCTTTGAGTCATCTTATTTTGTCCATTACTGTCTTTGGGATAAAGCCATTTCAGAGGCCATAGCTGAATGGCATGGTATTGGAGCAATGTATTATCATTGCTCCATATATCAAGGACTGCGTAGGAATAAAATATAATTTGGTCCAAGATATACCATGTATACTGAAGCCTTTGTGGAATAAGCTGATCTAAAATACCTGAAATTGGCATTTTAAAGTACAAGTTTACAAAGCTATGGTTTTGTTGTTGAAAATGTATAAAAATACCAATTAACGTTGTTGTTATTATGATTCAGGTAACCAGTCTTGACATAAAAACATTTGTCTTCTATTCAGCTTGATTGACTGAAATAGGAACCTAATAAATATTGCAACCATCAAACAACTTGCTTCTTTATTTATTAGAGTAATGATTGTTCCAGTAATAAGTGGTTTTAGGACTGCAGGGGTTTTGTTTTGCTATCCATACAACAATTGTTATGCCAGCAAATCGATGATGACAGTGAGGGACACCACCTGCTACCAAATATGGGACTGCATCAAAAGGACTGCAAGGTTAAAAGTCCAACAGACTCCTTGGGGAAGGTCATGAACCAATTTTGCATTTTCAAAAACTCTTTGCCTGCATCAGATAAACAATAGTAAAAAAAACAAACCGAAGCTTACATTATTTGGTATGAGTGCAGAAAAGGGCTGCCATGGCTTGAATCCAAAATCACACTGAGTGTATAGAAAATCCTTCCGTTAATATGGAGAGAGAGGCTACTGATACTCCAAAGAGCACCAGAATGCTAGGAAACCTTCCCAATAATTTGCGGATGTGTACTACTGCTAGTGTTAAGTAGATCAGTGCTATTGTACACAAGCAGAAGTGACTTCTGTTGACTTCTGAGACCACGGTAAAAGATACACTATTATTGAGTACCTCAAACTTTTTTAAAAGGTAAAGAAAATGCCCTCTTACCTTATAAAAGAAGTATTGCACCAGTTCAGATATCCTGACATAATAAAAATGCCCGTGAATCAGTAACATTTTTTTCAAATGTTTAAATTTGGCTATTGCATAGTCACTGTTTCTTGCTGCTTGACGGCCTTCTTTTCCAATAATGCCTGAGGGGAAAGAACAGTGGGAGCTGGTGAAGTAAAATATGTGCGAGGCTGTGAAATCAAGTTGTAAAATTTATACCAGAAATTCCCTGGGGTTTACATTTGATTACAATTTTGAGACTGTTAAGAAGGGCAGACCCAGCGCAACTTGACTTATGACTCAATACCTTTATTTTTAGTGAAAGGAAATGAAGATGCTTACTTACTTCAGATGGAGCCTGTCTACTTACCTATGCCAACATGTGCTTCTAATATCATACTGACATCATTTGCTCCATCACCAATTGCTAATGTGATGGGGTGTTCTTTTGACCATTTAATTAATTTTACAATCTAAAAGGGAAAAAGTGTATTACTTTACTATTTCTATATGTTGTAGTTATGTCCAGTAGTTTATTTGCTAGGGATTATTCCTTTTCAGATAGAGAACACATTCTGGGGAATCTTACTTTCTCAAGAAACTTAGTACGCCCCTTAATTTATCACAGGGAGTAAATAATATGTAGTTATCTGCACAGATTATCCATGTGACTATTTCCAGATAGCTTTCTCATTCAAGCAAACACAACAGAGCCAAATTTACCCATTTCTCACAGCACTGAAAGTAAGTAGAATATATTAAACAATGGTCCAAATGTAACAGGTGTTTCTCTCGGATATATTCAGTTCTGTTTTCTCTCTTGCACATTTTTCACTTTTTTCCAGTTTTATACCTGATATTAATTTAGACAGAATCCTAATTAGCCCACTTTTCTGAATTTAGTAAAACAATTTAGTAAATAAAAAATATTATTTTCCTTTGTTAAAATTAATTTGTTTTGGGGGGTATGTTAAATCTCAAAATGTACATAATTGAGTGTTGCACAGGAGTGCGTCTTGAATGAACTGTTAACTAATTGCTTTCCTGTATAAATTTTTCTTTGGTTTCTTTTCTCTTTGTGTTTCGTTTTTTCATCCATTATCAGTTACTGAAAGGAGAGTGTTCAACATTTTATAATTACCACAAGGTATTATTTGACAATTTCAATATTGGCATAACGAGAAAGACGGAAATACAAACCTGTGCTTTTTGCAAAGGAGCCATACGACAGCATAAAACTGCACTGCAGTTTCTACAAATTTCAAGGAAGATTTCTCGGTAGTTACCAGAGCTGCCATCTTCCCGTGGTTTCATTATTAATGATAATGCTGCTCCATCAATAATTAAACCATAATCTTGCATTTCAGCTGAAAGCCTTTAAGTGACAAAAGTATAGAAATTAATGCTGATTTGCAATGTAACTAAGCAGTAGCAGACATGCCAAAAGACATCCTGAAATAAAGCAAATTTAGAGTTCCTGGTCTTGTTTCCTTTTTAAATAAATCCAAAGCAGATTTGTTTGCCCTTTAAGGATTGGAAAAAAGAGTACTTTTTTTCCACTAGGCCAGTGATGGATAACCTTTTTGGCATAGAGTGCCAACAGTGGAGCATGTCTGCGCACGCTGGAGCACTGGAACCCGGAAGAAAACAGCTGGCCGCCACACATGCGTGCCATACCACCTGGTCGGCATGCATGCATGTGATGGCTAGCTGCTCTTTTGGGTTCCATCATGCACCTGCGCACCGGGCCACAGCTCCAGGGTTCATGTGCACCAACCAGCTTCTCTCTTCCAGGTTCCAGAATGCACATGCACGCTGGCCAACTAGTCCTGCGTATGCCTATAGGAACCCAGAAGAGAGCAGCTGGCTGGCTGGTTATGCACGTGTGCCATAGGTTTGCCATCACAGCACTAGGCTGTCATTCCATTAATCTCTTAGTCTGCTTCAGGTATGTCATATATCAATAGATATAAAAATGGGCTGTTTTCACATTTTAAGGATGCTCTCCAATGCTATCAGACAGCATCAATTTCCATGGGATAGCAGATATGCAACTTCTATTTTACATTGTTGTTCTAGAGCAAGGGTTCACAATCCCTGGTCCGTGGACCACCACTGGGCCATGGCATGCCAGAAACTGGACCATGCAAACAAGTGAAGGCCCATCCATGGGAGCTTGCAAAATTACACTCCCTCCTGTCTATGGAAAAACCTCTCTCTACAGAACCGATCCCTGGTGCCAAAAGGTGGGGGTGGGCACTACTCTAGAGGACAGATGCTGCATTGGAGGAGACACACTACTAGATCCAATTAAGCCCACCAACTCTGTCTGATCATGCAGGATGGGCAGTGACTTCAGGTGGTAGAGGTGTCTCAGATAAGTGAGACCGATGGGCATCTAAAGTTTTATAGGTAGCAACCAGAATTCTTAATGTAACTGGAAGTCTACTGGTAACCAGTTCAGCACCCCAAGCACAGGTGTCACATAGGTATGTCACCATATTTTTATTCTTTTATTTTATTTTATTTATATACCGCCTATCCAGGAGTGAAATCCAGCAGGTTCTGACAGGTTCTAGAGAACCAGTAGCAGAAATTTTGAGTAGTTCGGAGAACCGGAAATTTTGAAAAATTCAGAGAACTGGCAAATGCCACCTCTGACTGGTCCCAGAGTGGGGTGGGAATGGAGATTTTGCAGGATCCTTCCCCTGTCACTCCCACCCAGCCACACTAAGTCCACCAAGCCACACCCACAGAACCTGTATTAAAAAATGAATTTCACCACTGCACCCATCCAATAAGACACGCAACTCTTAGTGGTATACAATTAAGTTTTTTTAAAAATCACAAATAATAATCATATTATTGTTCAAAATTATAAAAAAGCAATTGGTGAACAGATATTTATAATAACAGAACCACTTCACTAGTTTGCCTTTCTCTGGGGTCCCCAGGCCTGATGGCACAACCAAGGTTTGAGGGACCTTCAGAAAGCAAAGAAAAATGAAGCTATGCTAATCTCACCACAACTGAGAAGTCCCATTGCCTAGGGTAGCTCCCTAAATGACAGCACTCACAGCATGCCTATGGTGACCAGACATCCCGATTTCAGCGGGACAGTCACACTTTATAACAATTTGTCCCGTGTCCCGGAGAGTTTTTAAAAAGTCCCGATTTTTCGGGCGGGCGAGCTCTGATGCGGGCGAAAGAAAAATCCTTTCCTTCGCCTGCATCCCACCCGAGCTCTGATGTGGGCAAAAGAAGGAACTTTAATCAGTGGGATGCGTGCAGGGAGGAGAGGAGAGATTCCCCCCTGCGTGCATCCCACTGATTAAAGTGCGTGCTTTCGCCCGCCCAAGCTCTGATGCAGGCAAAAGAAAAGTCCTTTCCTTCACCTGCATCCCGCCCAAGCTCTGATGCGGGCAAAAGAAGGCATTTTAATCAGTGGGATGCGTGCAGGGAGGAGAGGAGAGATTCCTCCCTGTGCTCAGCCCACTGATTAAAGTGCTCTCTTTCGCCCACAAGCCCCAAAAATGCTGTCAAGCGCTGTCAAGAAAGAGGCTTTTGGCTGCTGGGTGGGGATTCCTGCGATGGGATTTGGAGTCCTAAAACACTGGCCATTGGGGGCTGCTGCGATGGGATTGGAGTCCGATGCCCCTGGCGATTGGGGGTTCTTGCAAGGAGATGCGGGAATAAGAGGGAGGGGGTCTGCACAAGCCCCCCCGACCCCCTTCTTTAGAAGAGCCGGAAGCATTAGGGGAGGGGGCTTTGCGCAACCCCCCTCCCCCGAAGCCCCACGCCTGCTTACAGCAACCCCAGATCGCCAGTGGCATC